TGAGGGAGTAGATCTACTCTATGCTCTCGCAGGCGCATAGAGGTGCTCTGCACAAAAAGCACAGACATAACGGGACGTGTGGGTCCAGGGGCATGTGACGATGTGGACAGCACACACGAGATTAACGGCGGTTCACGCACCTTCCCTTCACGAGAAAGTTTTTTCACTTCTTTTTGTTAATTTTAATTGAATCTGTTTGTCACAAAGTTAATCATGATTTATAAGGTTTCAAACGAAAAACTATATAAATATAATGTTATTTGTTCCACTCCCAATTTTTTTTGTTCGTTATTATCTTTTAGAAAAATATTCAATAATAAGACTATTTATCTTTTGGTACAAGACAAATATAATTGATCTTGACCATTGAATGTGAAATTAAATGACTGCATTTAATCTATTGACTAAGCACAAACCTCACAAGAAATTTCTCGTATTTTGTGACATACCCAAGCCATTAAATTTCATATCAGATAGTTGTAACTAATTATGATTTTCTTGTATCAAAGGTAAATGGTCTCATTGTATACAATCCATATTTTTTTATGTACGGAGGTAGGGGGAATGTATATCAAGAGGTGCTTCATACAATGCAAGCTCCTGGACATGTCCCTCCCTTTCTTAAGCCATTAGACAAGCTGTTGGCCATGGCTGACAACAGGCGTGGGCCGGGTCAGGCCGGGCGTAGCCCAACTTAGTTTGGGTCTAGGGGTGGCAATTGAGTCAAGATGAAACCAGGTCCGGGTCTAGGTTGGACCCCCGATAGGTTTGGGGTGAGTTCAGATCAGGATTGCCTCAACCTAGTATAAAACATATAAAAAATACATTGTAAAATCCAAAAATTAATTTTTTTATTTCTAGACCATCTAGACCAGAGTTCGGGTCCAAATGACTTGAACCGTAGTCATGTTTGGATCCATTTGGGGTATTTTTGGTTCAGGACCGACCCAGACCCAACCCGGCCCATTGACATGCCTACTTGGGTCACAAGAGGCGATAGATTTAGCCTTTTCAGTGTATGCCGAAGGGGCCGTGATCTAGATTTGGCTACTTCAGACCTGGCTTGAATGTAGCACAATCATCATCGCCATCATCAGAGCTTTTTTCCAACTATTTGGGGTCGATTCTATGAATTACAGTTTTCGATTCTGTTCTATCAATGACCATACCCTCAGTGTGGCCATAAGTCCCTAAATCTTTTATTACTACTTCCAACCATATCTTTTTGTGCTTACCTCTTGTCTTTTTTTTAGCATTCCACTTGAACCAATTGGCACCTCCTAATAGGTGTTGTACTGGGTCTGAGCATGGTCAGCTTACTTAAGTCTACTTTCTCTCATCTTATTGCCAATTAAAACGACATTTTAATTCTACTTAATAAATTCATTGTCAATATAGCACGACCCTCAAAATGCATTTTGTCACACATGCCTTATTTTTTAAGTTCTAGATCACTTCCTAGGCCATTACCGGCCCTACTATATCTCTGAACGACTGAATTATTTCATCAATGTGTGCATTAACTTGATTCCTTTGGGCAAGTTAAATAAACAAGGGATTAGGATAACTTTCTTGAATGTGATCTGGACCTCTTTGTAAAACACAACTATTTTATTTACTTTATAAACTTTTAAAAATAGAAAGAAAATGACAACTGATACTCTTGGGCGGTGCCCCCCTCTCTCCATTTTATCCCCATCAATAAAAGATCCCTCTTTTTCTTTTGACTTCTTCAACCGCCCAAACATTTTTATGTCCCAAAATTTCTCAATAATTATGATTATAAAGAAAGCACTAGCAATTAACTAAACAAATTTAAATTCATAATATTAGTCAAATTATTTCCTGTGTGTGACATGAATCATGTAAGAGCTTAAAGAATCGCTCCCTAAATCGTCCGATCAAGTGATTGATGGTGATGCAGTGAGAGTGGATGCACTAGAACATTGACAGACCGAGCCGAAGGTGCTGTTCGCTCCCCATCACCCTCCCATAAAAAATATGGAGGGTGAAAATCGATCACGGTTATATGATCTTTCCTACTTTTCAATTGACTTACAAATTATACAGTAATCAACAACAAAATTATCAATATTGTGCCCGACCAGACCGGGTCGGGCTGGGTTAGGCAGCCTAGTTCGATTGGTCAAACTAGTATTTGGTGCCTCGGCCACTTTGGTCTAAAGAAAAAATTTGGTATAGGAAAAAATTAGTCAAAACTAATTTTCGATCAGTTGGACGGGTCAAACCAACGGATTTTGACTAGTTAAACCAATTAAACGAAGTTGGATATTTTATTAAATATAGTTTATTCTTATAATTATTATTGATATTTTTTTATTTTCTAAAAAATCTAATCCAATCGATTTAATCAACGATGAAATAGATTTTAATTAGACGAGACCCCGATACTTTATTGTCAAGTTCGATCTTGATAATACTAGTCCGGAGAGGCTCCAGTGCATCTTCATTGAGCTAAGGATATTACAAAAATTCCTAAATTCCAAGCTGTATTATTACCAAATGAAGGAATCCACGTAGTTTGTAACTGACATTCCCACTGCTGGAACCAGGCTACCCTATGCATACGGAACTGTATTTACGCTCGTGACAAAATTAATGGAAAAAACGAAAGAAAAGTCAAAATAAAAGAGTGAAAGTAAAAAACAGTTCGTTATTATTGCAAGTGCTAGATTTTTTATTTTTTATTTTTCCTTTTCACGGTTATAACAATTATATCTCTCTTTAGATGCAAGGGAGGGCTCATTTTTTGGGGCCATGCTGATGTTTTGCAGCATTGAGAGAGAGAAAGAGAGGGGAGAGAGATGACAAGAGCTCCTTGTTGTGATAAGAGTGGAACTAAGAAGGGGCCATGGACACCAGAAGAAGATCAGAAGCTGGTTGAATACATACGTCAGAATGGCCATGGCAGCTGGAGAGCCTTGCCCAACAAAGCAGATAACTAACCAAACCACTCTATCTCTCTCTAACTCATTAATCTATTTATCTATCCACCTATGTCTCTTAATAAGTTAGATAGGATTCTTTTCCTAATGTTTTTCTCTCCATTTTTTCTATTTTTTCTTTTCCTTTTGAATTGTTACAGGCTTGCTTCGATGCGGCAAGAGTTGCAGACTGAGATGGACTAACTATCTGAGGCCCGATATAAAACGAGGCAATTTCTCGATAGAGGAGGAAACCGCCATCATCACTTTACATTCCATCCTCGGAAACAAGTATGCACATGCATACACAATCAGAATTTTTCTTTTTCAATTGTTCCTTTTTTAATTAGAAAAATATTTTATACAAGGATTTTGGCCGGAGCGAGTCTTAAAAAAATAAAAATAAAATAATAAGTAACGTATACTTATAATAATAATACAAGTATCGGTTAGGTTTGCTGCCTTGATATGCCTAGGTGTTCATAGACACACTGATACACATATTTTACCCATATATCCATATATATCTGCTTAGAATCATACACATGCGCGCACACAAACACAAACTCTGCAACCCACTCCATTCTTTGATAAAAATACTTAAAAGAAGTACAAGTATGGGCGGGGCATCAAACTACCTCAAAATTTTGAAAATTTAAAATTTTAACGAAAGATCTCGTTCAATGTTTGCAACATCTAACTGGGCAAAACTGAATTAAAAAATGACCAAAAAAAAACTTAAGAGTAAAATAAATAAAAACTATGGTTCATTCGATATTTGTTTTTCTCTCCTTACTTGAATTTCCAAAAAAAAATTTATAAATGTTCGAAATTATTCGTAGTGTGCAAAAATAGAGAGCAGAGGAAAGAGGAGATATTTATCGGTGATTATTTTTACCTAAGTTCTTCCCTAAGATAGGGGGCAATTCAGAGCCTCAAAAAGGAGGCTTAGGTATTTTGTCCTTCTTATATACTTTCATGAGTTCAACCCTTTTTTAAATAGCAACTAAAGTAATATAAATTGACGAAAAAATATTGTTCTCCTATGCTCTCTTTCATGTTAAAAGATTGGCTTTATTTTTCTGCTAAAACAAAATGCTAAAAAAATTATAATAATTTGTATCCTCATTGTATGGATTTATAATTCTATAGGAAATATTTTCATTTGAAGTTCATATTACCATGTAGTTTTGTAATATTAGTGACATAATGTAATGTATTTTATGATAGGAAAATTGTTTCATGCGGGCTGGATCACATTTCTACATATGCAGTCCTTTCCATCTAAAAACAATGGAAACTGATGGTCCAAATGTTTTCTTACAAGAATTATTATTTTTAGTTTTTAAAAGTTTTTTATTTATTGATATTCATGATCTCCATACTAGAGATTACATGTCCATAACAATTAAGGCTTAAAATCCATTTCAAAAAAAGATTTATTAAGAAACCCGCATTTATACATATGCAGGCTTGGCTGCATACCATAGAAACTGGGTCCTTTATAATATAATGTATTTTATAATTTAACAATAGAAAAAAAATTGTAAATCCTGACAAATTATTAATGCTTTTAGAACAAGAAAAGTAGATTTTATGAAATCTAGTATAAGTAGCTTGTAATACTTTAACATTAAAGAAAAAGTAGCTTGTAATACTCTTTTAGTACAAATTTTCGATTTTGTTATGTTTTTGGAAGAAATTGCATTTGAGATATGAGGATTTCCAATCAGATTATTTACCAATTAAATTAAATTATTTCGAAGTAACTTGTAAAGGTTCCAATGGGCTCGTAGGCGAAGGTCGGCTAATCTAGTCCTGGAATGTTGGGCTTGGCCAGGCAATTCTTTACGTACCTTGGCCTAGTTAAATTTGATTTGGTCTGTTCCATTCGAGCCCAGTCCATTGCCACCCCTAAACTAACATTATCAAAGTGTTAATTATAACCGTATTTCTATAGTATATTACATCAAAGAATATATTTATCAGAGAATCCTTTGTATTTGAATTATGAAGTATACAGGACTATGGATTCCTTCATAATTTTTCCTCTTTCTTTTCTCTTAACTGTTTTTTCTTAGCTAGGTGGTCTGCCATTGCTGCTCGTTTGCCCGGAAGAACAGATAATGAGATAAAAAACCATTGGAACACCCATCTAAAGAAACGGCTTCTGAAAATGGGGATTGATCCTTTAACCCATGAATCCATTGCAAGTCCAGACCCACCAAACATGGACCAAGGGTTATCTTTTTCAGCCATCATGAGCCAAGCTGGGACTCCAACTAACCATTTTGGCTCACAAAGTGTTAGGCCAATGAATATGAGTGGAGGTTTTTGCTTGCAAGAGCCAATACATGATGGAGATCAAGTCAATTACAGTGGATTGAGTAAGTTCATGGAAGGCCATGGTTGTTACTTAGGGACAATGGCCAGCTCCATGAGTAAAGAACTTGAGAGTGAGACAGCAATGGGGCAGGTTTGGCCTACAGATGGAGAGAGAATAGGGCATGGATGCATTGAAGGCAAGGGTCAATATTGGAGTGGCCTATTAAAGTGTGTTGCAGCTGTCATGAAGCCTGGTGGTTTCATGAAGACTTGATTGCTCTCTCTCTCTCTTGTGGCACAAAAACCTGAAGATCAAAGGATTGTGCTATGTACAACAACTGTTGAGGACACAAAGCTAACTAACTTTTGTTTAGGGGGGTTTTGTTCAAGTTTATTATCTTCTCTTTTCCTAATGAAATGGTGTGAGTTTTGGCTCTCTTTTCTTTTGTCAGTAAAAGATCAGGGTGTTCATTAACCCATTTGCTGAATAAATTTTTGATAAATGACCAAATATCAAAGAATGCTTCTTGTGAGATTATTATCTTGTTTAGCAATCGAGGTATAATCTTGCCATGAAAACCGATGTAAATTGTGCATCATAGTTCAAGATTTCAAACTATCGTATGCCTATAAGTTTTTGGGTAGTTCAATGCGGAAGGGTGTACTCTAACTATAGAAGGAATAGAACCCAAGACGACATATTATATTGACTCACTACCGACATCGGAATGTATGAATATGAAAAATAAAAAAGACTTTTGAGTCCCAGAAATAGTGCATCTTGCAATACATTATCTAGACCGTCCATTTTCAAGATTTTTGTATGTCTATAGATCTACTTGATCTTAACTATTTTCGGAGTTTAAACTTTTATAATTAGATATGAAAATAGATTTTCAGATAATCTTAAGAAGTTTTTACACTAAAATTAGATGTTACGATAAAATTTGGT